TTAGAGGCTCAAGATTCAGTCTGGCTCAAAACAAGTCTCTAGTGCTTACTGAGATGTGTCCCCTTGGGCATGTTACTTAACTTTCCTGAACTTAGTTTCTTCATGAACAAAATAGGAATAATACTTTTTACATAGAGTTCTGTGATGTCTAGCACATTTGTGTTTCAGTTGTTTCTGATACACTTATTTAGATGAAAAGATCCATTAGATTTCAAGTCTTTCAAATAAACAATTCATTTTCTCTGGGGCAGAGAAGGAAGAAGAAAAGGAAAAAAGGAGACAGAAAAAGAGATCTATATTATTTATACTTTTAAAAAATATTGTGGGCTGTGGCTATAGCTCAGTGACAGAGTGCTTGCCTAGCATGTGTGAGGCACTGGTTCGGTCCACAGCACCCCATAAAAATAAAAAACAAACAAAATTAAAGGCATTTAGTCTATTTACAACTACAAAAAGACAATTTTAAAAAATATTATTTYCCTAATTTATATTCCATGATCACTGAGCAATCTTCTAATTTGTTTTCTATGTCCTTTATCCACTTATTTGGTAAATATTTATTGAGAATCTGACATGTATCAGGTTTTGTTCTAGGAATAAAGTACATTAGAAATTGAGATATTTCTTAGACAAAAAGACTTTTTTTTTGTACTAGGGAGCGAACCCAGGGACACTTTACCACTAAACTACATCCCCAACCCTTTCTTTCTTAAACTTTTTATTTTGAGACAGAGTCTTGCTAAGCTGCTTAGGGCCTTGCTGATTTGCTAAGGCTGGCCTCAAACTCTCAATCCTCCTGCCTCAGCCTCTCAAGTTGCTGGGATTACAGATGTGCCCCACTGAGCCCCATTCAACAATAAGAAAACAAATTATATGATATGGTAGAAGGTAAAAAGTCCTATGGATAAAAATAAGCAAAAAAGAAGAATGAGAGGAATAGGGTGTTCTATTTTAAATTACAGACATTGTCCTAATCCTATGTCATAACTTGGAAGGTATTAGTTTCTTAATAGATTGCACACTAGCTTTCTTTAAGCTGTAGTAAACTCATTCTCTGTTGTGGGTTGATAATATCAATACAGTGAATAAAATTTCTTGTATTCATTCATACTTCTTTTTAAAAACTCAACACCAGGGTTGGGATTGTGGCTCAGTGGTAGAGCGCTCACCTAGCACATGAGAGGCCCTGGATTTGATCCTCAGCACCACATAAAAATAAAATAAAAATGTTGTGTCCAATTACAACTTAAAAAAAACAMAAAAAACTCAACACCACTTTATAGGTAATTGGTTCCTGAGCAAAAGGCCACCTAACAAAATAATAGTGAGACCTYTATAACAAAGGGTCTTACRTTGGGTGCCCCCAAAACAGAGAGATACTGAGAGAAGAACCTGAGGTAGTGTAGTTGAATTGGAAGGGGCTCCCAGGAGGCACCACCAGGAGYTGGGGAAGTTACATGAGACAGGGAAGGAAAAGAAGTCGGTGTAGTGTGTTAATGAGCAGGCCTCAACCTGGGCCACAGGGGCTTGATCACACTGAGGATCCCTGGGAGACTGCCTGAGGTACAGGAAGCTTAGGAATGATGTACCAATCAGTTTATGAATACAAGAATGAATACAAGAAATTTTATTCACTATATTGATATCATCAATATAGTTTACCATCAGTTGAGGGCTGCTCTATTAATATATCTGAAAAGAGGGAGGCACCAGGCAGGGATTGTCTGCCATACTATGCTAGAACCTCATAATACTTTTTTACCTTCTTAAATTCAAAATTATAGTGCAGTATTTAAAAAGAGACTAAGCTGTGGTTTTCCCTTTTTCAAGTAAGCTTTCCACATCATTATATGTTATTGTACTTTAGATTGTGGGAAGAATGCTTAAAATTATTTAAAGAACAAGATTATTTTCAGGCAAACTCAAAAAAGTTTCAGAAACCCTAATTACCTAATGTGCTATCATTATCTCTTTATTAAAGCAAGTCCTATGTAGAAGACTAAATTTGATTTAAACTTTTTGCAAATAATAAATTTGCATTCTACACTACATGAAGATTTTTGAACCTCGATGCAAAGAAAAGACTACAGATTCCAATTTTAAGCCAAAGTAAAGCTTAAATTGTATACACAAGAGTTGGCCAGCAGCTGCCTCACCCAAAATGAGGGCCCGAGGACAACACCCCAGCTCTCCAGGAAAAAGGTTTTATAGCACAAGAGGGTGTGCTGGAACTTACAGCTAACAGGGTTCTGGCAAGAATAATACAAAGGCAGATAGCAGGTTAATGATCTGCATGGCTTAACATCTCAAGGTAGGGAATATATTGAGATTCCAACATCAGAATTTATGAGGGGCTGCTAAGGTTTTAGGGAGGGTTGTTATCTGGTCAAGAAGAGCTAGGCATGGGTGAGTTTAGAGCATGGGCAGGAATTTCAAATAAGATTAGCCCTCAGAGTATGGTCAGGCCAAATAGAAATCTTAGTAAAACAGAAATGAACATTCCATAACTTTGTGATGAGATGGCTCCTAATCTTAGATAGAATTGAGTTCATCAAAATCTCTTTCCTTATTCAAAATCCTTATTTAACTGAATATTTTAGTAGAAATCACTGTTAATATTATCAAATCCAGTGGATCTTCTCAGTCATGAGTAATAATGACAATCTCTACATCGATTGTACTGAGTGTTAGAGCATTAGCCTGGGGGACATGATTCTTCACATGCTCTGATATTCTTGAAAACAAAGTCCTGAATCTAATGTTGTTTCCAACTACTGAAACCATTTGTTTCCCCCAACAAGTAGGGGCTGAAAATTGTAGATCACTTTTTAAAAAAAAAAAATCCATTTATCCCTTTTTGCATAGAAGTTCCTCTTGAGTGGTAAGGCAAGGGTGACCCTACAACCAGAGGAAAAATGATGCTCAGGAAGTCCTTCAGGTAAATGCAGTGTTGGAAATGGGAACACTGGCGAATTTTAAAATAATAATGTTATTGTTTATAGACTCTAGTCAGAAATACCCAAATTTAAAACTGGCTTTACTACTTACAAATCATGTGAACCTTTATATATTTCTTTAATTTTTCTGTGCCTCCGTTTTTTCATCTGTAAAATAGGGATGGTAAGAGGATTTCCTCAAAAGGTTGTTGTAAGGAGTAAATGAGAATGAATTTTGGAGCACAAAGCACAGCCCCTTAAGCACACAGTACAGACRGTCAAACAAGAGGTCTATGCAGTAGACTAAAGACAAGAGGGGTCAAAGCAACTTTAGAATGGGGTGATCACTGCTCCATGCCTGGACAGCCATTGTTTCTGCAGAGGCCCTGGATTTTGTTGTTGTTTTTGTACTGGGGATTGAACCCAGGGTCACACTCCTGCTGAGCTACATMCCCAGCTCTTTTTATTTTTTATTTTGAGACAGGGTCTTGCTAAGCTGCTTAGGTCTCTCTCAGTTGCTCGGCTAGCCTTGAACTTGAGAGTTTTCTGCTTCAACTTCTTGAATAGCTGGGATGACAGGCATGCGCCACCATGACTTGTTTGTTTGTTTGTTTGTTTGTTTGGTTTTGTTTTCTTGTGTTTCTTTTAGATGAGAGAGAAGGAGGGGGGAGAGAAAGAGGGAGGGGTGAGGGGACAGGAGGCAGGCAGACTACCTGGTCTTTCTGCATAAACTTTGAGCATTAGGGATCCACCTAATTCAGGGAATGGTTGATTTCTTCAGTATAGAACAAGGCTAAGTTTGTGTCCATATCTGAAGATGAAGCCTTATCTTTCAGATAATGCAGGAGATATCAGAAACTAAGATCAGAGTCCAAATTCCTGCTCTGTTGTTTCCTGGCCTTAGCCAAGTTACTGAGCCTCTCTGAGTTTCAGATTCATCATCTCTAAGTTGGTAATATTCACTTACAGATGATAATGCAAAGGAATCATAGAGTAGATGCTCAGTGGTGCCTGGAAGCCCACTAGGGATGTATATATCCAGGGGARTTTTATTAGAATCAGTTCTAAAGTCTACCATTGGAATATTTTGGGGAGGGGGTACCAGGGATTGAACTCAGGGGAACTTGGTCATTGAGCCACATCCTCAGCCCTATTTTGTGTTTTCTTTAGAGACAGGGTCTCAAGGAGTTGCTTAGCACCTTGCTTTTGCTGAGGCTGGCTTTGAMCTCATGATCCTCTTGCCTCAGCCTCCCAAGCCGCTGGGATTAAAGGCGTATGCCACRGTGCCCTGCCTACCATTGGAATCTTAAAGTGAATCCCTGGTCATCCCTTTTTTCTAAGGGGGTGTATATATATAGATAGATAGATAGATATATTTTGGGGGGGGGTGCCCTTGAACCCAAGGGCACTTAACCACTGAGCCACATCCCCAATCCTTTTTATTCTGTATTTGGAGACAAGGTCTCACTAAGTTGCTTAAGAGCTGAGGCTAGCCTTGAACTTGTGATCTTCCTGCCTCTGCCTCCCAAATATCTGGGGTTACAGGTGTGTGCCACCATACCCAGCCTCTTTCTCTTGAGTTTTTATAGCTTCCTGCCTAGGATTGGGCAGAAGACTTGTAGAGATTTACACAAAGCCACACATTTGAACTTTTAACTGAGGTGATAGAGTCTTCATGCATTTGCCACTCTTATTCACTCCTTGAGAATGACCTCAGTTTGAAAAATCTGTCCCTAACCAGAAGTGACCCAATCTAACAGTAGTAGGGAYCCATCTAACTAGAAAACAAAATCAAAACTCCTCTCTGCCTGGATATCAATCTGTACTTATTTGTGTGTGGGCATAATGCTTACCCACTTGGTCTGTCTCCTAAACTCTTTTCCCATTTGATCTGCTTGACACACACATCTATACAAACATACACACTGCCTAGCTAGGGACATCACCTTTCAATTGCTCCATAAGTCCAATATTTATGGTTTTGAACATTAGTATGTTCTTTTAAAAAAAAAAGAAACAGTGATGGTTTATGACTATTTGATATGATTCTTTTATCTTTTGCAGGGAAAACAGAAGCCTATTTGGAAGCCATTAGAAAAAATATTGAATGGTTGAAGAAACACGACAAAAAAGGAAATAAAGAAGGTAGGAATTCAGTGTGGTTGTACATTGCAAACTTCACCCATTTGCCAACGGCTCTTGTTACATAATGATTCCTGCAATCAAATTAGTCTAAAGAATCAGTCCAAAAAGATGGCAGCTGCCTCTGAGATGACAAGAGGAACAGAACCTCACTTATCTTGTTATTCAAGGCATCTTCTTCTTTTTTACATTTGATTTTGAAAAATGTCAAGTGAAAGAAGAGTGATAATATAATGTATCCCCACATGTCCATCACCTATCTTCAATAAGGATGAATATTTTGCCAGTCTTGTTTCACCTCCCCCCTCACACACAGCTTGCTTTCTTTTCTGAGCACATACTGAGTGCTTCATGCAGTCACTAAAGCAGCCTCTCACTTACATAAAACAAAACACACCCTGTTCTGAGTGCCAGAGATTCAAAGGATGATCAGATGCAGCCCTCATACAACAAGGAGCTCACGGTGTCAGTGTGGCTATGGTGAACCCAAATAGGACTGTGGTAGATGGATGTTGGAGCACCAAAGGGGTGAGACAGTGGGATGTGTCATCCCACCATGATAGAGCCAGCTGGGAGAAAGGACAGCAGGAAAGGCCGTGATGCAAAGGTAAGGAAGAATCCACTGAATGAGGAGAAATGGAGTAAGAAGGAACCCAGGGGCCAAGACATAAAGGAGTGAAACAGAAGGATCTGTTTTGGGGATCAGAGCCATTTTTTTTCCCCAGGACTGGGTGTCTGTGGGGAGGAGCAGCAGCCAGGCTGGGAAGATGCTTGTACACTCTGCAAAGGAGGATAGCTTTAGCCAGGGGGGCCAAATTGGGTTAAAAAAAGAAATCCATCYGGTAGCAGTGTGGTTGCAATTGAAAAAATAAGACCCCAGAAGGCAGGAAAAAGGAGGCCAGGATCTGGAGCAAAAGTGATGGGTCTTTAAACCAAGGCAAAGCAAGGCAGAAGAAATAAAGAAATGAGCAACTTGAGAGCCATCTGGTTGCATTCCAGGTATCAGGCAAGAGCACCTGCAAAACAGTGTTCCTCCAATGAGTTGAGCGATGCTTCTCAAGCTGAGGCAGGAGGATCATGTGTTCAAAGCCAGCCTCAGTAACTTAGTGAGGCCCTGAGCACCTCAATGAGATCTTGCTTATAAATAAAATACAAAAAAAAAAAAAAGAACAACTGGAGATCAGTATAAATTATAAATTAAAGGTACATTAATTTGGAGCATTTATGTCATTGTTTTCGCTGGGTCAACATATGCCTCAGATTCCTGACCAAAACTAACATCATCCTGCAAGTCATCGTCCTGTTCCAGAAACGATCCATCCAGTGAAGCATGGAGATCTGATTCTTGTCCAAGGAAGGCCTTGTGAGTGAACTTCAGAGTGAGGGTATGAGAGTGTTGGGTTTTAGGTTTTCTTTTGTCTCCTGAAGGGAGGATAATATGCTGTCTTAAAGACAAAGAAAGCTCTCACATGTCATTGTGGCTTGACTTGTGGCTACCTCTCAAGGCCTATGGAGACCTAGGTGCTGTGGCCGTGCAATGGCTGACGCTGTGTGAACCAGAGGACTTACCATTAGTTCTGATCTTTCTTAACCTCTCCTGGTGCCCTCTGTTTAGCAGGGACCTGGGCGACCTGAAACCCCTTTCCAAACTCAAGAAATGGAAGCCCATGTGGTGTGATAGAATGATGATAAAATCTTATACAGACTTACAAAAAAGAAAAAGTGTGCTTTAAAAAAGCAAACCACAAGCCAGTTGTGGTGGTGCATGCCTATAATCCCAGTAACTCAGGAAGCTGAGGCAAGAGGATTGCAAGTTCAAACCCAGCCTTAGCAGTTTAGTGAGGCCCTAAGCAACTCCATGAAACTGTCTCTAATAAAAAATATAAAAAAGAGCTGGAGATGTGGCTTGGTGGTTAAGCGCCCTTGGGTTCAATCCCTGGTACCAAAAAAAAAAAAAAAAGCAAACCATAGCCCTTATCTCTTTTGAGCCTTACAAGCTTAATTAAAACCTCTTTTAAAGTTAACAAGGTGGTGACTAGCTTATGTATTCCAAAAGTCAGCCAGGGAAGAGTTGGGATTGGATTCTAGGAGCCTGCACCATGCTAGTTTTTCTGTTGCACACAATCAAACCATACCGTAAAGATACAATTTTTCCTTCTCATAAGAAAGCAAAAGCCAGGCATAATGGCACATTCCTGTAGTTTCAGCTGCTGATGGAGCTGAGGTAGAAGAATCACTTGAGCTCATGAGTTCAAGAACAACCTAGGCAACATAGTGAGACCCTCATCTCAAAAAATACCAAAAAAGCCTGGTACAGTGATGCATACCCATAATCCTATCTATATGGAAGCTGAGGCAGGAAGATCACAAGTTCAAGGACAGCTTATACAATTTAACAAGATCCTGTCTCAAAAAAGAARTTAAAAGGGCTGGGGATATAACCCAGTAGTAAAGCACCCTGGGATCAATCACCAGTACCAAAAAGGAAAAAGACAAAATATTTTYCTGTTTGTTCATTCAAATCACTGGGACCTTATCTGTCATCAAGAGTCTGCCTTTTGTCTCATTAAAAATATTAATAGTGCAAGTCATTCTGAAGAGTCAGAATTAATGAACCAAGGAAAAGCAAGAGGTGCTTCTCTGTGCCGAGTCGGGAATCCAGGAATCATCTCTGTGAGATACACACAAAATATATGTTTGCCTTCTACTTTCTGACTAAGAGAAAGAAAAAAGTTAAAAACAAGCATTTATTCAACATGTGCTTAATGTACCTGTCAGAAGCTYTATCTTCAGTACTCAAGGTTTCAGAATGGTCAAAGCAATGACCACAGACTGACCTGGTTTCGGAACTTGGCTCTGCTGCTACCTGTGCAAGTACCTTCTGCTGTCAGCCCTGGTTCTTCATCTCTGAAATGAGCATGCTAATGCTTACCTCATGGGGCTTTGTGAAGAACAGATATGAGGATGGTTGTAAAGTGCKCAGTGCTGGGTGTTTTCTAAATACATGCCCTAACCAGGAACAAAGGCCCTGTTTGCTGCAGAGGAAATGAGCTCTCAGCCTCAGGCTCACCTCCATGTAACAGTGTTTACAGAGAGGTCCTTCCTGCTTCATTTTCCCTTCACACAGGTGCCTAAAGATGCCCAGGTTCAGGTTACATTCAGCCCAACTTAGGGTGGCTGTGCAGCCTCTGTGTTTTCATACCCCTCCYCCATTTTTTCTCTCTCCCTTACAAACTGGTAGAAGGCAGGGTTTGGTCATTTATGATTATAACTATCTAATAAAATAATCGGGGAAGGTGTGGGGGTTTTTAAGTCTTCAGAAAAATGCCACAGGCAACCTTCTTACTTAGGGTCTCTTTGTGTTTTATGGATGAATTGATGTTTATACAGATTTTTTTTCTTGCCATAAAGAGGTTACGGTTTGGCTTCTTGTTCCCCGCATATAATTTAAACAGCATTAAATAAACAAGGTAATTCTAAATTTGGAAAACAAAAATGTGGGTTGTCACATTAACAGGAATTTAACCTGATATTATAAGTTCAGGAAGTCAGGACTCCTGGTTCTAACCATAATTTTGCTGCTTTTGTGATCTTGGACAAAGCTCTTTAGCTTCAGGACCTTGTTACCTCATGATGTTTCCTAGCCCAGCAGCACCAGGTTCTCCTAGGACATTGTTTAAAATGTAAAATTTGAGTTCTCACCCCAATCTGCTAAATATGAATCTGAAACTCTCCCAAGAGCCCCAGACGATTGGCTTATAAACATTGACATTTGTAAAGCCCTGGTCTGAATTTGTTGCTCTTTGGTCAAATGAGATGGTACTTTCCACTTGAACACCTCACAGGGTTGTGATAAAGAACAGATGAGATAATATGATACATATAAACATCATTTTAAACTGCAGAGCTCTGCCTCAATGYGAAAACAGATGATAATCTTGTTATTACACAAAGTGTTTCTCAATGGTAATCACTGTAATGGGATTGGTCTCTCTTGATCTTTGCTCATGATACTTCAATAATATTTTCCAGACTATGACCTTTCGAAGATGAGGGACTTCATCAACCAACAAGCTGACGCTTATGTGGAGAAAGGCATCCTTGATAAAGAAGAAGCTGATGCCATCAAGCGCATCTACAGCAGCCTGTGAAAATGGCAAAAGATCCAGGAGTCTTTTGACTGTTCCAGAAAACATAATGTAGCTTAAAACACTTCTAATTCTGTGATTAATTTTTTTTTACCCAAGAATTATTAGAAAGTGCTGAGTTTACAGTAGTTAACCTTTTAGAAATGGATAAAACATAGCTTTCTTGCCACAAAAACTATCTGAAAAGTAAAATTGTATGTAAGCTGAGATTTTGTACATAGAATTCTTATTTCTTCATAGATTTACATTTTATAATCAATGTTGCTCTAGAAAAGCCTCTCATGGACTGAATATAAAACTAAGAYTTCTGTCTCACACACTTACACACACTCCCTGAAGAATGAAGGGGGTTCTGTTGTCAGAGCATGATGGATCCCAAACCACCTTATTCTAAAATGTCATTTCCACTACAGTTTCCCAGTGGGCACTGAAATAAATTCACATTTCTGCAAACCCTCTATAGCTTGAAAGCCATCTGCTTCTTCAGTTGCTCTTTTTAGGAGGCTCTTTACTAGGCCCAGTGGACAAAAAGGAACTTGAAAATGGGTATAACATTTGCTGGATCTGCCCAACAAGGTGGTGTACACCTATAATTTCAGCTGTTTGGAAGSCTGAGGCAGGAGGGTCACTAGTTCAARGCCAACCTGTTCAATTAAACAAGACCCTGTCTCAAAATTTTAAAAAAAGGCTCAGCCCTGGGTTCAATACCCAGTTTTGCAACAACAAAAAAATTTGTTGAATTTATTAACATTTTATCCCCACTCAGCATTTTCTGTGAGTTCTTAGATACTGAGTTTTCAGATAAAGGGGGATTACTTATGTRCTCTCCAAAAAGATAATAGAGGTTGTAAACAGTATAAAAGCATGTTTAAAATTTATACCAGATCTTGGTTATCTAAACTGGATTTGACCCAAGCAAGGTGGCTCAACAGAGAGCAAAGGACCAGGTAGAGTAGAAATAGAGATTGACAACCGTTAATCTCTTAATTCCCTGTGAACTAAGTTAGAAGTGCTTCCCTGAAGGAAAAGTTTAGTGAATTTTAGGTTCCTGCAACTCCCCTTACCACAGACATGGCCCTGGAAACAAGCATACARAGGCCAGGGCTCCTCTTAATAATGAGTCAGGGTTCCCAAAGAAGGCTTTGAAATGTATTATTCAGTGTAAATTAATTACATAAATATTTTTCTACTGTCAAAAATSAAAAATTAACACAATGCTTTGTATATTATCAGCCACTATTTCAGATTGGCCTTCTGATGCCTGTGTTGCTGTCTTGAGGATCCTACCAGTATTCTCCTTGCAGTGAGGACTGAGAAACTTACAGGACTTGGTTAAAGGCCGTTTTTCAGGAGTAGGAGACCAATGCATCCCTTCCCAATCTCTTCAGAGAGTTACAGAAGCAAACAAAAACCAAAGCCTGACAGACACACAAACTAAGCTGAGTATGTTCTAGAGAAGCCAGTACCCACTAGTGAGTAGGGAGAGGGAGCCTTTGCCCAAACTCCACTTGCAAAGCACAACTCAGACAGCTTTAATGAATCTTGGGATAACATGACCAGCTGCAGTCACGTCAAACAGGCTGCTTCTATATCAGACAATGAACTGGCTTGGACTAAACATTTTATCCATTTACTTTTCTATATGAATAAATATGCAATATTTTTAAAAATATGAAATTTATTTAGAGAGATTATTGTAATTTGCAAAGTAAAGTGACCTTCGTTAGCTCCCATTGATAACAATGACAAAAGGGAAATCATTAGCTTTGTTTTTATAAATGAGGAAAGTGGTTCACCTAAGGAACAAAAAGACATACTCAAACTCATGTGGCCTGGATGATGAAGATGGAYCTTAACAGGACATGGTTAAAGGCCAGGTTTCTTGTCTTTGTCCACTCTTTCATAGTGATTCTATACCAAGGTAGGGACTAAAGTACTCTAGACCTGTGCAGCTCAACTATGGCCACAAAGTTGTTAGGAACTTGATATGACAGAATTTCCACCTGAAATTGCTAAAAGAGGCAAAAATAAAATAATGAAAAAAATTCAAGATTGTGGTCTTAATTTCAAATTTGAGTTTATATGTTTTGGATAGTATCTTTGGATTTGTCTTTTGGATTACTCTTAAATTTCAGATCATTTTATGTTAAATATCATAACTACATTTTAAAAAGTCCCTAGGCTTCCACAGAGGTTTGCTTGGGCCTTTTTTACAGGCATTTTTGTTTCCCCCCCCCCTTTTTTTTTTAGCTTTCTCTTTTTCCAACTAACTCCCTACAGTTCAGGTAGTAGTGGATACAAGGAAATGGCAAAGCATRATCAATAGAGCACCCTGTTTCAAAGATGCTATAATAGCATGAAGAAAAGAAAAAAAGATGGGGGGATAATGCATGTCAAGTTATAAACAAGAAATGAGCAAGTCAAGAGCAGACAGCTAATGCTTCCCATCAACGGGCTGCTGATCAGCCTCCAGGTTGGATACATGCAGTTCTGGTTCTGCAAGCTCTRCTGCACTGCCATCTAAAGGCACAAGTTTCCTGTTCCATGGAAGATCTGGAGGAACAAAACAGGGAAGAAAATAACAGAAAAAATAAGAAAGGGACAACAAAAGTCCCTTTTGGCTGGGTGCAGTGGCACACAACTGTAATTCCTGGGAGTCTGGGGCAAAAAAATCTCAAATTCAGGCTAGCCTCAGCAACTTAGTGAGGCCCTAAGCAACTCAGCAAGACCCTGTCTCAAAACTAAGGGCTGGGGATGTGGCTCAGTGGTAAAGCACCTCTGGCTTAAATCCCCAGTACAAAAAAAACAAAAAAATAATGAAAATTCCTTTTGCTCCAGAGACAACAAACACCTGTTAGGTGATGCCGATGAGCTTAGGGATGGTGATGACCAGTAAATACAGAGAACTGCTGTGGAAGCATAAAGACTTAATCTACTGGTTAAATAGAAATTGATACCAAAAACATACTTAATTGTAAATAGTATATTGCTTGAAGTTTACTGCTATAACCTGTAGTATAAAAAAAATAAGACAAAAACMTAACTCTAAATTCAAATAATGTGGAATATATTACATAGTGATGTATTGGAATACACTGTACAGTGATTACATACACAACACTCTATAAAATGACTTGGTAGTAAAATCTGAACTAGAATTAAGAAATGTGTCAGAACTTGGTATTATTTATTTATTGGTATTCTATATTTTCATTATATCTGAATCACATTGGGTCAACAAAAATGCAAAGGATGCTAGGAACTAGAATTGATTTGCTTTTAGATCATCAAAATTTCTTTCAAAAATTGCATTTATAATAACAAAAGCCATTAATTTAAAAACATAATTTAAAAATTAATTTAAAAATAAATTTTTTCCCATTTTGAAAAAAAATGAAGACTCATATGTGAAAACATAGTTTATTTTCTCAGACTTTTGTAGTTTATTTTTACAAAATAGCAGACAAAATTTGGTTCTTTGTATTAATACGGAATATGTAATACATATTGAAATATATATATGTATATAGCACTTAAGTTAKAAACACACAGCAAATTCAGCATCACTTAAACAGCCACCATGTTTTTCACATAATTAGAATTTCATTAGGAGCTAAACACTGTTTTCAGCTTAAATATATAAAGTCTTTGATGCTTATCTCCACCAGTATTTACAAAAGCTAGTCTAAAAACTATTACCACCTACAAAAGTAATAAGCTTCAGAATATAATTTTGCTATCATGCCATAATAAAAACTGAACATTTTAGAAAGCCAGAGGAAAATAACCACTTCAGTGCAACTGCAGTAGGTAGACTTAATYGTGATTTTAAGATGAGTGCTATGGGAATCCAAAAGGGATGCTTCTGGATCTTCAGTCACCAGGTTCTTTATGGCCCAAACACCGCTTAATCCAGGTTAGAATCATGCCACTAATCACCTAACTGTGATAGAGGGACGTTGCATAGGGACTTTCTTCATCTCTAAACAAACAAAAACAACAAATATAGCATAAATTAGTATTTAAAATTACAATCAGAAATCTAAAACATATATATATATATGTTAAGGTACAACTTAATACCTACTGGATAAGAGTGTATCCACTTAAGAGTATTGTGCACACCTTGAAAGTGGCATGAAAAACAAATATTAATTAAGGCATACCTTACTATCTCCATCTTACTGGTGTCTCAGTTATTGGAACAAATAATGATATATAAWAATTAAATATATTACATTTATGTAAATTATATTTATATCTGTTTGCTTTCTATATGCCACTTCTTTCTCAAATGGTACTGAGGTACCTAAAACAAACAGCATATTTATAACAAGATGAATAAAGTAGAGATTAAAAAATCAGGACTAAGGAAAGAAGAAGGAAGCCAATAAARTAACCATAGAAGTACTATATAGAGGTCAAACCTGGGCTATTTTACTTGTAAGTTTCCCARGATGCAGGGGGAAAAAAGAAACACAACAGCTTGTACCTTCTTAAAATCATAAAGCCAGAAGGAAACCAATTCTAGAGGAGATAGAAAGGTTTGCTCCAGTACCAAATTTTAAACAAAGTAAAAAAAACTCATAGGAGGACTGGTGTTGTGCCTCAGTGGTACAGCGCTTGCCTAGCATGGGGGAGGCACCACAGGCTCCTCTTCATGTGAAAAACTGCTATCAAGTARGTTCGATTCTCAGTACCACATATAAATAAATTTTTAAAAATAATAAAGGTCCATCAACAACTAAAAAAATATTAAAAAAAGATTTCACAGGAAATCTTATGTAGGAAACACTTGGTAACAAATAAGAGACAATGTTTTTGACAAATTTTATAAAGGTYGGTATTGTCCAAGTTTTCTTTATGGCACTGCTTCCTTTGAACAGTCAACAAGATGCTATCCAGAATTACTAGCTGGACATTAATGTTATTAAAGCAAAGAAGCAATTTTTTTATAATAAATAACAGAAAAAAAAGCATTTGTAACAGATAAAGCCTTAAGCATTATGCGGTAGCTCTCTTTGCACTTCATACATTAGAAATCTCTTTCTAGAATTAAAATGTAAAGCAAGGACATCTTAAGAGTGATTTAATCAGCCTCTGACATTTTTTACCAGGGAATTTTTACCTGCTTTCTTCTTTTAGTTTCTTGGCTGCCTGTGTTGATAATTTAATCTGCAAATCAAGTCTTTGAAGGAAATCTCTGG